CGTTTCTTGGTCAAGTTATAACGGGTGACTCAGAAGTTAGACAGGACCCCAAAAATTACAATTTCCTTAGGTGGTTCATGAAAGATTTCCTATTTGCTGTCTTTGTCTTATTGGAAATGAGATAAATAAAAACAAATGAAGCAAACAAAACGAAATGAAGAGCAGAAATTCAAGGTATAGAAAGCATTGTACATGTAGTAGCGACGTTATCGATCCCGCGGGAATACCCGGAAACCCAAAGGCAGGTACATACAGAGCTTTTGGTCTGGATATCCGGGATATTGCCTTTAGTCAATAAAATCGCAGTCCTGAAAATGGCCGATCAGCGAAGGAAATTATCATGGTGAAAACAAGGACAAATTCGCTTGTTATCCGCACTTTGCGGTCTGGAAATGGGAGAGGGAAAAATATAGGAAATATTGAAGAGAAAGTAAGTTCTAAAAGCTGTATAATCTGCGTTTGTTGGTTAAAAAGTTATTTAGACCGCGATTAGTTTGCAGTCAGGGGCTCTGCACACATACAGACCCTGAAATCAGGAAACTAATCGGTTGACCTTGCCTCTTAACTTCGAAAGGTTCCTTCTAGCGATGAAAGTGGACTAGATTCAACACCTTTTCCATCTGGGAGACGTCGTTTACGAAGTAGAAGGGGCCATGATGGTACTGATAAGTATCCCAAACTACCGGCTTGCACTGTTCCATTGACACGTTCGACTTGTCGAAGTGAAAGGTAAGTTCAAATTTATGAAACTTCTGTTTGTATTGGAATCTGTTCCCAGTGCTTAAAGTAATGAAGCGCCAGGGAGGTTGATGGCAATCTAACTTCTAAGAAAAAGGAAAATTTCAACTAATTTTTCTTTCAATTCAGTCTCGAGCTCCTAAATGGATCTTCTGTTCACGTTGAAACCAGGAATTCGCTAAAGCGAGGTAGGCATGTGAGAAGATTTGTAGATTTTTAAGTTTCCGGTTGCTTAAGTTACCTTTCTGTGTTGAAGATTGATTTGTTTCATTTGAGAAAATTTAGTTTTAATCTTTTGCAACATAGGTAAGGGAGAGAGATCTTCGAAATCTTTGCCACGGAAGGATAGGAAGAAAACTACAGAAACTATCTTGTACAAGACACGGCGAAGCGATCGCAAACCGCGAAAGGTTTATGAAAACTTAAATGTTACTATGCTAACAGATCACCGTTACATGACTGCATTTGGAAATTCGAAATCCCCCAAGAAGGAAATTGAAAGAAACAGACTTCTGCATGACGAAGAGAGCGAATCTCAAACCGAGGGTGACGAGGTAAAATATTAATATTGCTTTGTTTTTTTGAAATTGGCGCCATTTTCTACCCATTGGCGCCAGTCACAGATATGCTAATTTTTCACCTTTCAGGGAGTCCCCTTCTATTTTTTTGCTTTGAATAGAATCTCTTTTGTTACTAGAACTGCAATAACTTTGTCAAACCCTGATTGCAGAGGGTAAAATTCTTCAAATTATTCACTTGTTGCAAATATAGAATAAAGATCTGGGGAGAACTCTGTTTACCCAAAATTCCAATCTTTATTTTCTCAGAGCAGGTATGGTGAAAATGTAGCACACCCCAGTGGGAGATGACAAAACACAGAGCCCTACTCCATCGAGTACCCTATCGAGTACCTTAATGGGGTACCCCTAAAAGTCATGTATTGGTCAAATAAAATATTTTATAAACATGGTAAATCGTTTAGATGTACATATCCTAAATATTTTGAGCTTACCGGCTCTCCAAATGTCACAGTCCGATGCAATCTAGTTTTTGGGGGGACAGGTGACTAGGGCTCTCAGTCTTAAGGGTTCCTCCATTTTGGTTTTACCGCTGTGTAATGAGTCCTTTGATGGGAAGACAAAAAACTCCATGTGATGAACAAAACCCACTGTTTCGAGTTCTGCACGAGGTAAAATATTTAAGCTTACTACATTTCCCAAATCAACGGCCCCAGCTGGATTTATTTGCCGACCTGTCACTGTTTTTTTTTTTTGGTTTGTTTACATACCTCAATTTTATTACGCTACAAATAGATGGGTGAGGAGAAGCTCAGTTTAAAGATATGGATTACCTTTTTTAAGTCTCAACCTACAAATGTAAGCTTGTATCCTCATCGCTTCGCACAATTAAAAAACCAATGAGGTCTTGTGTTATTAAATGGAGCGCCACACATCTTACAGACGCCACACATAAACAAGTATTCTGAAAGACGTAAAGCCCGACGCAGAATGAAGGATATCCGTCCTTTTGACCTCTTGAAGATCATATGAAGATAGATGAAAGTCGGCCTACAAACGATAACGTTCATGGATGCTAGCTACGTTAAAGCTTTCCGNGGGACTAGTCGCACGGACTAGTCGCAGGGACTAGTCCCCTCGTGTGTGCCAACCTTTAAGAGGCATTTATGCAAGGTTGTTTTGAAGTTTAGATGACAACTGCTGTCAATATTTATTATTGGAATTGTTTTGCATTAATAAAAGTATTTTTGTATAAGATCCTGTTAGTGACAAAGTATGAATTTGATAAAAAAAAACTGAGGGAGTTGTTTCTGTTACCTTGTTGCCGCTGTATTGGTATCTGTTCAAGGAAAATAAGGAGGACTTGTTCATATAAAGGTTTAGGAATTTGGTTGAAAGATTTTGCTGAATGATTCATGCATTGTATAAAAAAAAGGATAAAAAAAAAAAACAACTACAGAGAGCTAAAATTGGTAGTCCCTTTTCTTTAGTCAGTCTTCTATTTTATATCCAGATTCCTGATGTCACTGTTTTAATTGTTTTTTGGATTGTGCCTTTTCACATCATGGAATAAGTTCATTCATGGGCAAGCCAAAATGTTTAAAATGGATCATGATTTTCAGGAATTCAAGCACACAATTTATGGTTTATGTACACCTTTTCCAATTCAGGATGTTGTTGAAGCACCCAGCATGTATGACCTTATAAAGAGAAAACATGATCAGACTCCAACACCAGAAAAAAGATCAAGTCGAAAGAGACGACATGAAGATGGTGATCAGCAGGAGGAAAGTGACAATGATGACGATGATGAAGATGATGATGACGATGATGATGATGAAGAGGAGGAGGAGAAAGATATTAAAGGTTATGAACTAAGAAAGAGACGAATGATTCCAAACCGATACATTGCACCTCCTTTGAAGTCCAACGAAAAAGGTACTTACAAGTCTATATTATGTAACTATGCTTGTTGATGAGGCTGTATTGTGGTGACTTGATTAAAAGCTATATGTACACCGTAACTTCTTCTGCTATTAGTAATGGAGAAAGAGAACCAGGGTGCACAATGGCACCTATATATCATTTAGCACAACTCCACCCTTGTATTCTGTGAAACACAAGCCCTCTGCTTTGTAATTGGTAGTCAATCCTGCAACTGTTTCTGTTTTCAGGCAAGAGAAGATTTCATATGAATGTAGAGCCAAGAAAGAGAGGGAAAAAATCGTCACAGTATGCATCTCCAGTCAGAAGAGTCCGCAGACCCAAAAGGAAAGCTCATCATGTGAGCTCCTCCACTTCATCCTCTGGTACGTTGGTTATCCTAACTCTTCTCTAGATGAGTGACACAGTCCTCTTTTGGCATTGGGGATGTATTTGGTGACTTTAAAAGTGGTTATATCTGTAGCTCTAACTTCTAACAGACTGCTAAATTGGTGGGATGTGGAGCTGACTCCCCAAATTAATTCCTCCCTTATTGTTGAGGTGCTTTCTGAAATTTATAAGCATCCTAGAAAATGTGATCTTTGAACCAACTGAGTACTTGTATTTTAAGTTGATATATACTTTTTTTTTATTTACAATTTTTAGATATATTAATTGGGTCAGATATATTAAAGCCAGGGAGTAGACTTGGGAACTTTCAAATTATCAGTTGAAGGGATATTATTTTATCTTCCTCTCTCATTCCATGAATGCATATCCTAAAGCATTTTCTGTTTTTTCTCTAGATGACTCAGACAATGAGAAAGACGAAAGAAAGTTTGAACGCAGAAGAGCCAAGAGCATGGCGAAAGCCAGGGGTCGCTGTCTTCCAATGAACTTCACCATGGATGATGCAGCTTCAGGAATTTTCAAAGAGAGAGCAAGAATTGGATCTAGTTTAGCTGATGTGGATCCTATGAACATTGACCGCAGGGTTTGTATTTAAATGATTATTTGGCAAGATTTTGAGGGTCCTTATCAATAACTTTGTTGTTGATTTATTTCCTTTTTACAACAAAGGTCATGTTTGATGCAGTTGGTGGTCTTAGCAAGCAGATAAGGGCTCTTAAAGAAATGGTTTTGTTTCCTTTGATGTACCCTGAAGTTTTTGAGAAGTTTAAGATTGCTCCTCCAAGAGGTGTCCTATTTCATGGACCACCAGGTCTGAATGAGTTCATTTTCCATTTAATAGGTCCACGAGTTTCTATCTGATTAAATTTGAGACAAAAGTGAATATTCAAGGTCTTAACTCTATACTTGTCTGGTAACCTTGATTTATTTCAGGGACTGGAAAGACACTTGTTGCACGAGCCCTTGCTAATGAGTGTAGTCAAGGTGACAAAAAGGTTGCATTTTTTATGAGGAAGGGTGCAGACTGTCTTAGTAAATGGGTTGGTGAATCTGAAAGACAGTTGAGGCTGTTGTTTGATCAGGTAATTTATTGTCATGTTACAACTCTCAAGTTGGTTCTATTCTTTCTCATCTACCCACGTTAAATTTTTTTGTTGTTGCTTGGTTTTGTCTTCTGTCTCTTTTATGATTCACTCCCATAAACTATATTTTACACTGATTTTCATACAGGCATTTAGTATGAGACCAGCGATCATATTTTTTGATGAGATTGATGGTTTGGCACCAGTCCGCTCAAGTCGTCAAGACCAAATTCATAGTTCTATTGTGTCAACTTTGTTAGCCCTGATGGATGGATTGGACAGCAGAGGTGAAATTGTGGTCATTGGTGCAACCAACAGAATTGATGCTATTGATCCTGCTCTGCGGCGTCCTGGCCGTTTTGACAGGGAATTTCAGTTTGCTCTTCCTGATAAAAATGTAGGCTATTTTTTTAAAATTTTGTCTAACAATTATAATTTTCTTGATGATATTAAAGACTTTTCAATTACTTTTACCTATTTTAGACAAAGTTTCTGATGCTTCTTCTACAGGCTCGAAGAAGTATCTTGACTATCCATACGCGTGACTGGGAACCTAAGCTCTTGCCATCCTTTGTAAGTGAGGTGGCAGATCACTGCGTTGGATACTGTGGTGCTGATATCAAAGCTCTTTGTACAGAGGCTGCACTTTTTGCCTTGAGGAGACGCTATCCACAAATCTACAGCAGTACAAGAAAACTTCTATTAGATGTGAACTCCATCGAAGTGACTGCTAAAGATTTCCAAAAAGCAATGACAACCATCATTCCTGCCTCTCAGCGGTCTGTGGTTTCTCCAGCCAGGGCTCTCTCCCCCCTTATGGGGCCACTTCTAAAAAAGACTTTGACCCAAGCATTGGAGATCCTTCAAAAAATATTTCCCCCTGCTCATATTAAAACAGGTACAGTGCACATGTGCTTACTTTAGAAGCATGTTATTGGCACCATCTTCCAGACATAGGAAAAATAAAATAAGAGCTGTGGATTGACAAAAGTTAGAGGTGGCAGCAATCAAAATACAAATGAATAAAGGCTGATAGTTTCTAAAGAAACTGTTTGGGGCTGCATGGGTGGGGGTAATGAAATAATTTGGATTTATCAACAAAGTTGAAATGGTAAATTGGCCACCGTAACGATTACAAAAGCTGACGTTTCGAGCGTCAGCCCTTCGCTCCTACGAAGGGCTAACGCTCGAAACGTCAGCTTTTGTAATCGTTACTGTGGCCAATTTACCATTTCAACTTTGTTGATATATGCAAATTATTTCGTTACCCCCACCGACGCAGCCCCAACCAGTTTCTTTAGAAACTATCAGCCTTTATTCAAATAAAATAAGGTTCAGTATCACCAAAACATGGAAAGAAGTCAAGAAATAGTCATGGGTGCAAATATTTTAGGGGTCAAGGAAAAGTTGGGGAATTTCATCTTGAGGTGGGATGCAGAGTGTAAAAATTCTGATGAAATGTTTGTAATGTTGAAAATTCTGAAATTTTGAAGAAAATGGTCTCTCTAGCAGTGTTCAAAAGTGCTCTGAAAGGAATAAAAATGGCTTTCAGTATAGGTAGCATGAATGTTGACTTTTTTCTTAGATTCTCTTGACCTGTGAGTTTGAGTTGAAGATAGGTTTTTGTTGTTTTTTTATGAATTCTTTGATATAGTGACAGAGAGTAGTCCTGGTAGCCTGATGGGTAACTCCAGTTGTAGCAACAACAGGAGCCATAATGATCAGCGAAGCAGAATGGTTGCTATCTTAAGTGATGAGGAAGCAAGCTCAGATGAGGACTTGGGACCTCCAATCTTTGAATCTCTTCCTGGTTCGTCAAGAAGTGAGCGCTATCTGCGAAGAGTACAGCAAAACTCCAACAATGTTGAGTCAATGGAGGTCTGCCATTCTTCTTTCTTCAGCTGGACAGATGGCCAAAATAAGGGAATGTCAACTTACCGACCGAGACTCCTTATATGTGGGAATCAAGGCATGGGCCAGTCAACACATGTTGCCCCTGCACTACTTCATGCAATGGAGCACCTGACTGTGCACTGTTTGGATTTACCAGGACTATATGGAGTTGCTTCCAAAACACCTGAAGAAGCTTGTTCTCAGGTTTGGCCTTTAATGCAATAACTTTTAAAGAAAAATGGAATCTAAAGTTGATTAGGTTAGCATAGCCTAAAAAGAATACAATTATTGCTTACTCTCCTGGATGCAGTACTTGTCTTTAATGAGTTTCTTTCAACAATTTGTCAGGTTTCGCACACCACTCGCTAGAACTTATTTCTTACTCCTGTTTAGGGAGGGACACTATGAAAGCCAATTGCTTCCACCCACTTTTTTAAATGCAGTTCACTACTTTAGCAGCTACATCACTGCTTCTCATAATCATCTGAATCAAATAATGTCTTCCTGTTTCAGCTGTTTCGTGAGGCGCGTCGTACAACACCATGTATAGTGTATTCACCCCATTTTGATGCATTGTGGAATGCCACAGGAGACAGTCTGCATGCTACATTGCTGTCACTGCTTCAGGATCTCCCTCCACTTGTCCCTTTGTTGTTTTTGGTAACTGCAGATCGCCATTGGAATTACCTTCCCTCTATCATGAAAGAACTGTTTTTGGCAGAAACAGGACAGGTGCTTAATGCATTAATGGTGTGACCATTGCAGTTTCAGATATGTCAGACACAAAGTTCGTGAAACCAAGTGGAGAATAGGAATGGGTTATAATACTAAAGCAAGATAGCATTGAAGACGTACTCTGATTGGCTACTCAAGCTATGAATATTCTTTGCTATTTACATGTGAGCAATGTGCAGGATTTACTCCTGATTGCTGCAGGAATAAAATGAGTTAAAATCATGTTTTTGTGCTATTTTATCTCACTGTGTTAGTATGTACTAAATAAACATTTACCTCAGTGTTGGTGGCAAGTGGTGAACACTTGCTTCACCACTTTGTGGCTTGGTAAACATGGGCCACTAGCCACTGATAATGAAGTGATAAGTTGTTAACTGACTGTGATTTAAAGAAATGATAATGATAAAGAAATTGTAATCTTATGAAATGGTTACTCTGACTAATTTTCAAGGTATTCCAAGTGGCTGATGTGACCTCAGATGAGAGAAGAGCTTTCTTTCATAGCCTCTTCCTTGAAGAGGCTGTTCTGCAACCCAAATGCAAGAAATCAGGTTGGAAAAATTCTATACCACTGCTTGCAATAGGATTGTATAAAGCAATGTTGCTCTATGTTTTGCACCCCTAGAGATATTCTTGATAAGACATTTAAGAACTTTGGCTACATCAGAAAATCTATCACCACTTTGGCCTTGTTCATGGTAACAGCCTAGTTGTTTGGAAAATCATTTTCAAGTGGTGAACGTTAAGGTCACCAGTTTAACTTGATGACTTTCCTTTAACCTTAACTGACCCTTCAATGTGTATTTTTATATGTGTTTTGTCATTGTGACATTTTAAGTCAAGGCTGCCAAGAAAAAGAGAGTGACACTCTAATGTGGTGGAGAAAATGTCATTGATTTGCTTACTCCCAGCCTAAAACTTTGTGGTATCACTTATACTTCAGGAAAAGATAAAATAGTGGAAGTGTTACAATTTGCTCCTACCCCACCCCCACCGCAGTTGTCGGAAGCTGAGCTTCAGAGGGCTCGCCAAGATGAGGAGAATACCATTAGGGAACTGCGCATATTCCTCAGAGATGTTACCTCAAAGCTTTTCCAAGATCGAAGGTTCAAAGAGTTTGCTAAACCAGTGGATTTGATTGAGGTACAGTATGTACAGTGTAAGATAATCATGGCAGATTCTTTAAATTGAATTTATGGAAGAGGTGGTCTACTTACTGAGCTAGTGTTGTTTGCAACTGGCAAAACATTTGATGGTTGATCCTAACTCTTTCACTATGATCTCAGTTGTAGTAATTCTCTTTTCGGTCTGCCATTCAATTCTTATCATTTCAGACTGGATAATCTGTTGTTGGATCAACTTAATGGTTCTATAATTGATACAAAAGCCATTTACTCATAATATAGGCCAGAAGACAGTGTAAGATAGATTAACAGTTATGGCAAAAATATTACCTCCATTTTTGGGCATTTTGAAAGCCCTTTTAAGTTGTCAAAAGTCCACCTATGTCACAAATATTAATTGCCATGGATCAGCTTTGTTGTTTAAAATAAATTCCTGTTCCATTTGTTTTGATCTCCTTTCAGGTTCCTGATTACCTTGAGGTGATTACTGAACCAATGGATCTAACAACAATACTACAGAAAATCAATTGTCATCAGTATAGTACTTGTGCACAGTACTTGGCAGATATTGATTTGATCACAAGCAATGCCCTCAAGTACAACCCTGATCGTGATCCAATGGACAAGCTTATCAGACATAGGGCTTGTGAACTAAGTGATATGGCTCACTCGGAAATCATATCACAACTAGAGCCAGAGTTTGAGAAGGTAAATAATGATGTTTAAAAATGACTTAAAAGTGGCTGAAGGAGGTGTACCTCAACACATTGTCTTGAACCAATCATTGCCACTGAAGATTGAAAGTGCTAATGTATTTATTTATTCAATTTTTCAGACTTGTGAAGAAATCATAGCTGCAAGGGAAAGAAGGGGTAAGAATCGAGTTGAGATTTCGAGTGTTTTTTGGTAATGGTGACAATAGCAACACTTTTTTGTGTCTTTAGTTATGGGTTGTCATAAGTTTTATGAGATGCTGTAGCAGCATTTATTTCTGTGTTACAAATGCAATCAACCTCACCTTAATCTAGCATATAATTATAACCTTGTGTCAAAATTTTGTCCAAGACTTGCATTGCGTACCATGCACCTACAATTTGCTCTTGAATTCACTTTTATTTTATTTTGGTGATAAAGATGAATTTGGTACAAGAGATTGTTTAGTTTGCTGATGATTACCTCTCCTTGAAGAATGGCTACCCTTGACTAAGTACAGCTATGCAATAATTAGGAACACATCAGTACTATTTAGGGTGCTAAATTGTGCAAATACCTCTTTTCTTCTTCAAAAAAGGAAGGGATTAATTTCAGTTGCAGGGAGTTTGGTGTAAAGAAATTTTTTTGTCCTGATGAGACTTTGTTACTAAAATTTAATGGATACAGTGGGTTGTAGGAAGATCAGTGGCGAAGAAGTGTAAGACCATGTGTAAGGAGCGAAGCCTTAAAGGGTGTTTTTAATCTTCCAAGGTGACAAATCAACTGCTGCTGCTCCTGCATTTGTGTTCACTGCTCCACTGAAACAACAAACAGCAAATGAAGATCAAGTAGAGAAAGCAGTGTTGGGTGTGTCTGATATAACCTTTATACCTGAATCCCAGTCACAAAGCAATAGTTCAAGGCAGAAGAAAAAGCCAAGACGAAAGAAAGCTCCAATATACTGGGGAAAAAGGCCAAGTAGAAGGAAACCAGACGTAAAGCGAAAGTTAGACTCAGAGCTTGATCAGGTTACTCAGGAGAATCAGGTTGAGGTGAATGGGGAACAAGCAGAGGTCAGTGGTGAAGCTTTGCCAGAAGACTGTGGAGAAGGATCAATCAATGAAGAAAGTGAACAGGATCCTGGGGTTATCTCTGAGAAAGAAGGTGATGTAGCAAACCATCAAGAAGAAGATGACGATGAGGAGGAGGATGAAGAAGATGATGTTGAATTAATGGAGAATGGGGTGGCATCTATTGATGGGGATGTGGTTTTATTAGAATCTGACAATCTCACAGCAGAAATTAAAAGTGGACAGTTGAACTCAGGGTCTATTTTTCAAAGCAGTTTGGTGTCGACTAAGAGATCTCTTGAAAATCATAAATTATTTGGAGGGTTTTCCAGTCTGCAAAATGAGGTCACCTCAGATGCTTGCTCAGAAGATATTGCAACAGAAAGTGAATGTGACAAGGAACCTGCAGGTGAGAGAGGTGGATATGCTTAGGTATGACTAGAATTTCAAGTGTGCAAATGCAAAGGGGGAAAATAGAATAATGTATTAAGACATGGACTTTCACTCTAATGCAAAATATTGCAAAAAAGATTGAGACAGTGTCATGGTAGAGTATGCTCTTGAGACAATTGACCTCTTGTGTAGGAGCTATCGTGGTTTCACCCGCAACTTGAATTATTTGCAGTCTGTGGGATGCAAGTGCAACACAGGTTACTGTCCTTACTCCTTAGTATTTTGTCGAGTTTACCACCAATTTCTGTACCCATTTATACCCCTGGTTAGAGAGAGGCACTTTGATGGAAAGGCTTCTTGCCCAAGAACATCAGATCTCATATCTCCTATTTGTGTATTTTACCTTCATGCTTACCGGTAATTGAGTGAGGTGATTTGTGTAGCATTGGGGTAGGTTAAGTTCATTCTGGTTTTCCCTGGTGCAAGATGCCTAACTTAAGCCTGCAGGCCCCACTGTGGAGTAAATTTCTACCATTTGTATGGAAAGGGGTTAACTTTGGTATCATAGGGCTTTCAGGCCTGTAAGGATTCCCAAATAGTTTGAGTTTAAGAGTATTTCTTTTGAAATATAGGTGAAGACTCTTCCAATAATCCGTTAGAAAAGGAGCAGAACAAATCTGCTGATTACGCTTCCAGGGGCAGCGCTGTACTCAGTGAAGACATAAAAGAGAAACTGGCAACTCTCCTGGATTTGTTGGTTCAGGCAACTGAGGGGGCTTCTCTTGAGATGCTGGAAGGATACCATAGTTCTCTTCAGTGTTGTATCTATAAGCAGAGACACAAGCATGACAAGAGACAGCTTCTGAAGGTAGGTGTTAACCTGGAATTAAAATGGTTGAAATGATTGCAGCTAGTTTATTGTAAAGAAACTGCTTATTGACATCAATGGTAAAATTAGATTTTTACTAGTTACAGGGATTTGTTCTCTGCCTGCCTCAAATCTTGATCAAAATCCCATCACTAGCTTTTCTAAGTGGCTAGAAAACTTGGTATGCAGCTCTTTAAAAAGGGGTTGTCCTTTGCAATTAGGTGATTGTTTTTTTTTCCTTTATTGTTGCTTAATCAGTAGTTGCAACTTTGTCTTGGTCCATAAGAACACAAAAAAGGAACTTGACCAATATCCAGCCATCTTGACTTCAGGCTTGGTCAATGATGTATATATACAAAACAGATTGTGGGTATTTTGTTATGATCTATCTCATTAATTCCTGTACGACTTCTCAAATGAGTTTTTCAGTAGAATATGTGAATAGCTGTTGACTGTTATTCTAAAATTTTTTCTCAGGATTTGGAACTGATGATTAAAGGCTTTGGCCAATCTTGAAGAACTGTTTGATCATTTCAAAAGTGCTTCTCAAAAGTTAGCTTGTAACATTGGCTCATTACTCTCAACAGTAAAACCTCACTAGCTTGAACTGTGAAGACATAAGAAAACAGTGCAAATCAAGAGTGTTCAAATTAGCAAATTGTAAGCAAAAATACCCTCTTCAAGAAAAGTAGCTCAGCTAATAGTTCCAGGTAGTGAGGTTCTGCTCTAATTAATAGTTGGGTCACTAAGTTATTACCAATTAAGTTATTTTGATTTGTTATTTTCTATGAAAATGTGAATAACTTTTGAATCAGTTCTGTACAGATGAAAATGTTTTTGCAAAGCATCATTATATCTATTTCTGCTAATGCCTGACAACATGGAACAAAGATTTTCTGCTTAAGGTTACAGTTGGTTTTGTACATGTCTCTTTTTTTTCTTCTCAGAAATACATTTATATTGCAGTCATTTTTAAGCCTTTGAAACAAATGAGTAATTTGCATATCGCCAATTTTCCCGGGGCAAGTGAGAATAGAGAGGGAAAGTTCATGGAGAAGGGGTAATTGACAGACTTTTTCAAATTGGCTAAATACATATTTTTGAAAAAGAGAACTTAATTAATGCTATAAAAGTGTAACATTTTTGTGTTATCTTTCTTTACATTCGCAAAAGTTGCACTGAGCTGAAATGAGGTCACATCATCCTTTAATAACTAAATTGTCAATGACAGAAAAGCATGAAAAAAAAAAAAATAAAGTAAAGATTTCCCAATGTGGAGATTTGGTGTTTTCTGTCACTTATGGTCATTTACTGGTATTCATGGGGTTCACCAACTGATTTTTTCAATAATTACTACGAACCCTACTGTTTTGTAAATCTTTTCAGATGAAACCACCAATAGTTAAATATCCCACGTTTACTCCTTTAAAATACAACAAAGTTATCTACATTTCCAAATAAGCTTTGGCAGCACGTCCACTATCATCAGTGGAATTGTTATCATTATTAGGGTTGTAATGTAGTGCGTGGATTAAAATTTACCTAGTCCTGACCAGGACTGAGAGAACGTCAAAACTGAAGGAGCTCATTAATGCACAATATCCAGTAGATATCTCTATCCAAGAGGGGTTATTTGAATGTCAGGAGCGAAAAGATAAAAAAGATAATTGAATTTCCAGGATAGAGAGAGGTTTAGCTAAAATACTAGTATCAGGATGACATTGTTTGAAGAATTCCAACATGTTTTTCAGAAATTATGATTCTTGCTTGTCAGTGAATGGTGTGGGTTGCCCTTCCCCAATGAATTTAGTATGGCTGGCTTTTGCCACAAGTTTGCCATCTTTGTTTAATAGTTCACCAGTAGTGAAGACCAATGTACGACCCATCTTGATAACTTCTGCATTTATAGTAACATCTTCTCCAACTGGAACTGGTCTTAAGTAGCTGCAATGAATGGAAAAGGCTTCATTGTGAGATAGCAGAACATGTGCAAAAGGGGTCAACAGGCAAACTAAGCAAAGATTAGGTACCTTATGCTCAAATTAACACTGACACCAGGCTTGTGTGGGGGCAATGTAAATGTCACCACTGTGGTTAACATGTCAATCAAAGTTGCTGTCATTCCACCATGGAGGTTGCCCATTGGATTCTGATGACTCTCTTCAACTTTCATCTTGAAAGAAGCTTTACCTTCTGACATTGACAGGAGCTCAATCTATCAAAGAGATGACTACAGTTTACTAAAATATGTAGACTTTTAAAGCACTTACATCAAGGTAAAGAAAGAGAGGGGTCTTTCAAAATTGCCCCACCCTTTACTGACAAAACTGTTTAGAAGATCACAACATTTTACCATAATAAATCAGATAGAGAGATGTACTGCAAGTCATAAGAGTATAGAAGAGGCAAACTTAATCAAAACATTTCTACTTTACGAAAGGGTAATTTGGTGACAAAAAATCCACATCAGGTGCCTTACCCCTCCCACCTCCAGCTACAAATAGTCACAACTTCTATATATGGTCCCTAGAGAAATGCATTTGTAATGTAAAACTCAGATTTTTAGAAATGGTAACATTACGACAAAAATTAGGCCCTGTTTTGTAAATTAAAAAAAAAAATTATTGTTAAAGGTCACGTAGAAACATGTGGGCCAGAGGTCAATGAACACTCAGGCCGCTGTGTTGCAACATGTGCGCTTAAGTGTAGAGACTGAACAGACGCTGGGAAAAAAAGGTCAAGATTTCTGAGCAGCCCATACTTTATTATGCAGACAGTTTATTGGATGAGAGAAAACTGAAGAGAAGAGTAGAAAAACTATGTATAGATCACCCTTGGGAACACGGCCTGGTTTTAGAATAGTACGGTTATGCGAACTGATCCTTCCCTACAACGAAAAATAGTCATTCTACCTTCCTGCCCACCCTGTCAAAGCCTTTGGTTGACCGGTAGCTCGCCAGAATTTGACGAATTACATTCCTGGCCACATTCGTCGACATATTGCGATCTTCTAGATGGTACGAAATGTAAGCGTACATAATTTGTGTCAAACAAACTAAACCCCCAGAAGCCACCGCGATCGATACCTCTATCCCAGTCCACATTACTCTATCTCGGTTCTCGAATTAAAACATTCGATGATTCGAATCAGGATGGGCATTGTTAAGACCTTAGTCTTAACTATGTTAAGACTTACATTTACATTTTTACACTTAAATAGCGCAGACTTCTATGTGGATATATTCAGTCGCGCTTAACAGTATCGTAAGGTTGAGATCAGACGTCAGCATTTTTATCAGGCGCCTCTGGCAGCCGCTTCAGTCCATGCAGCGATCTCACCTTCCCACCCATCCCACCCTGGGGAGGACATCCACTACACAGTAATCTAGTGCATGGGAAATTTACGTCTCCTACCCCTAACCCTGCAGGAGACGGGACCTATGGCTTTACGTCTTACTCGAGAAGACGAAGCAATGTGAGTGAAGCGTCTTGCTTAAGGACACGTCATGCCCCTGCCAGGACTTGGGAGGAAGTAAGTTACAATCTCTTTATTTCTCTGTGTGTGTGTTGAGTGTTACAGAAAGGGAAAGACCAAGTATGTTCAAGTTAACAAATTGTAAGTAACTGGAAAACCCTCTTCAACAAGTGGCTAAGCTGGAAATTTCAGTTAGAGGTTTTACTCTAATTGATATTTGGATTATTAATTATTACAAATTAATTTATTTTGATTAACTACTTTCTGCAAAATTATGATAACTTTTGAATACCATGTAAAGATGAAAATTTTTTTCAAAGCATTATTATAACTATTTCTGCCAATGCCTGACAACTTGGAATGTAGATTGTCTGTTAAAGCTGAGGGTTTGTTTTTGTACATGTGTGTGTGTTTTTTTTCAGAAATGGATTTATATTGCAATCATTTCTAAACCTTTGAAACAAACTATGAAGTGATTTGCATAATCTCAATTTTCTTGGAAAGAGAGTGGAGAAGGAGAGGAAGTGCATGGTGGACTGAGTTAAAATGAGATCATATCATGACCTTTAACAAATAAATTATCAGTGTTAGATAAACATGAAAATATTAATCGATAAAATGAAAATTTCCCAACACAGAGATTTTGCGTTTTCTGTTACTTATGGTCATTTATTCATCATGTTCATCAGCTGATTTGTTCAGTGATTACTATACTTACACCCTGCTATTCTGTAACCTTTTCTTTTTTTTTTTTCAGATGAAGTTCACCAACACTTAAATATCCCATCTTTACTCTTTTAAAATGAAACACATTTTGGTATCTACAATCCCAAATAAACTTTGACAGCACTTCCACCATCATCAGTGGAATGGTAATCAATATTAGGGTTGTACATATAGTGTGTAGATTAAAATTTACATGTTTCATTGCTCATATTTAAGCATTCCTAAGCTTGTGTACTGGACAAGGACTGAGAGAAGGTCAAATACTATAAGGAAAGTATCAAATTTATTCACTCCACCCATTTTTTTAGGCTTGGCTTTTCTCAATCAATTTTTTTTTACAATCTTTTGAATTGGAGAGATAATAAGACTGAATTTCTAAAATGCTCCTCCCATGACAGGCATGGAAAAATATATGCTTGTTTCAAAACAGAAGTAGCTCATATATCATTTCTGCATAATAATAAATCCAGAAGATATATTTACCTATGGAAAGTTATTTAAATATCAGGAGGGAAGGGATCCCAAAGACAATTGCATTTCCAGGATGGAGAAGGGTTTAACTAAAAAACTAGTGCTAGGTTGATATTGTTTGAAGAATTCCAACATTTTCTTAAAAATTATGATTCCTGCATGTCAGTGAATGGTGTTGGCTGCCCTTCCCCAATGAATTGAGTATGTCTGGCTTTTGCCACAAGTTTGCCATCTTTGTTTAAAAGTTCAGCAGCAGTGAAGGCCAGTGTACGACCCATCTTGATAACTTCTGTATTTATAATAACATCTTCTCCAACTGGAGCTGGCCTTAAGTAGCTGTGATGAATGAAAAAAGTCTTCATTGTTTGACATCAGAACAAGTGCAAAAAGGGTCAACAAGCAAACTAAGCTAAGATTTAGTACCTGATGCTCAAATCAACACTGGCAGCAACCTTGTGTGGGGGCAATGTAGTTATCACAATTGTAGTTAACATGTCAATCAAAGTAGCTGTCATTCCACCATGGAGGTTGCCCATTGGATTCTGATGACTTTCTTCAACTTTCATTTTGAAAGAAGCTTTTCCTTTTGACATTGACAGGAGCTCAATCTATCAAAGAGATAACTGCAATTTACTAGAGTAATATAAAAACTTTTAAAGCACTTGCATCAAAGTGAAGAAAGTGAGGAGTCTTTGGAAGTGTCCCACTCACAAAACTGTTTGGAAGATCACATTGTACTGTAATAAATTAGACAGAGAGATGTACTGCAAGTTACAAGAATATAGAACAAGGAAAGAATTATTAAAATGCCTGTATCAAAACATTTTCTCTTTACAGAGGGGTCTTTTTGTGGCAAAAAAATCCACATCAGGTGCCTTACCCCTAACCCCCCCCCCCAACCTCACTCTGGCTCCAAATAGACATAACTTGTATGATTTCTAGCAGAAATATTTTTATGTGCATAAATCTCTTAGATTTTTCGAAATGGTAACATTACAATATAGAAAATAGGCTCTGACTAAGTAGTTTGATGATTTGAAGAAAATCGCAGTAAAAACGTCATGCAAGAAAAAAATGTGGGGTAGGGGGTCAACAAACACTGAACAGTGTGTTACAACAAGTGCGTTTAAGTGCGGATACTGATTACACACCTAAAAAAGCTCTTATATTTTGATTTACTATATAGTAACATGACAACATAGAAAACAGGCCTTGAGTAAGTAGTTTCGTTAATTTGTTAACAATTTATTGTACAAGGTCATGCTAGAAAAGAAATGGCTGCAACAAGTGCGCTTAAATAAGTGTAGAGACTGAACAGTCGTTAGGAAAAGAAAATGAAGCAAGATTTTCGCACAGACCCATACTTTATTACGCATGCAGTTTGATGGATAGGACAAAGCTGAATTGAAGAAAGGAATAGCAAAGCTATATTTAGATCACCCCTACGGTCTTGTTTTAGAATAGTATGGACCCCAGTATGGGGTTATACGAAAATCGTTGCCTACAGCGAAAAGTCCTTTTCTACCTTCCTGCCAACCCTGTCAAAGCCTTTAGTTGACCCATAACTCGCCAAAATTTGACGAATTATACTTTTCGCCGCATTTGCCGACATCTTGAAATCAAAGATAATGGTATGATTTAATAGTAATCAATATCTGAGCGACAAACTAAACCCCCATAAGCCCCTGCGATTGATACCTTTATCCCAGTCCACATTACTTGGCCTCGGTCTCTTTCGTGTAAGTCTAGAATCGGAAGGTTCGATAATTTGAACAAAGAGCAGTGTGGAAGCTTTAGATCCATCTAGCAGCCTCAGAAGAAGTAAGTGAACATTTCTTTTTATTTGTAAATGTGTTAAGTAGAACAGAAGCAGAAATACTGCGTGTATTTAGCGTAAGTATTATCGATCTTACGTGTACGCGTGTATTAAGTGTCGCTCGTTGAAATTTGGAAGGCTACACTAGATTAGGGTAATTTATCTATATAAAAGATATTTTTGATAAACGAAGTAAACAGTATTTGTCTGCGTTACGGTAGATGATTGCTACTTCTTTGAATATTTTTTACAGTGTAAAATGATTGTTAAATTGTTTATGTTACATGATTTAAGTTTCTGTTCCTCACAAATTGACTGCCATTTTTTCCTTTTTAGACACATTTTCAGTCTCTAGTTATTCTCAGAACTATTTTAGAGCTACAGTCACTGCTTAGTATTGCATTAATTCAACTTATACCCAAGACATTGAAATTTCAAGTGTTAAAGATGATATTTCAAGGGATGTGTACGTCATAAAAAATGGTATACACCATTATTGTTTCACCATTATTGTTTTCTCTTTGTAGCTATAACCCACCTTTTAGTTAGAACGTTGCTACTAACGTGGGAAAAAAATTTTTAGGCATCGTAAAAGAATCCTTTTCATCAGGGCACCCGTTGAGAAAAATTTTAGTAGGAACACTTTGAAAGTGAGCTATTCATGCATGCCAAATTTAGAAAGAAAAATCAACGCCCACAACAAGTCCTCCCTCGGCCTTACGCGAACCAATTTAAAACAAGATTTAGAAACCATACAGCTTCATTTAGACATGAGAACAAAAGGAACGCAACAGAGTTGAGCAAATATATCTGGTCCCTAAAGGATGCTGAAACGGAGCTTTCCATGACCTGGAAAATAATGGCTCGCGCCAGGCCGTACTCAAATACTACAAAGAGATGCAATCTTTGCATAACTGAAAAATTCTTCATCATATGCAGAACAGGGGCGGGCACCCTAAACAAAAGGAACGAACTGGCGAGTGCGTGCCGGCACTCAACTAAATACTTGTTAAGGCATGCTTAAACCACCATCTTAAAAAGGATCGTTAGTCAAACCAGTATCTTATGCACCTGACGAGAGAGGACTTTTTAACCCTTTCGAAACAGATTTGTAGTGCGAAGTTTTAATTTTTATTTTCTTATACAATTGTTTACAAAGTTTCATGATTGTAGAGCACTCTCCAATACGACGATAAGGTTTTTTTTTGTATATATATACATATATATACACATATATATATATGTCAAAAATAAAGGAAATTTACCATTTTGTTACATTTAACAGGGTTTCCCTAACAACTTCAGTCATTCAATGAGGATGTGGCCGAGAAGAAAATTTTGATATCCTTAAGCGTCTACTTCTCAGCAGTATCTGCCTTATAAATCAGTTAAAATTGCCGAGTAAATGACCCTTGTTTTTTCATATTTCTTCAAAGCGTAGCATTAAAGTTGACCTGAATGCTGCTGTGTTCTGTATTCACTCCCAGTCCCCTTTCAAGTGTTGACTGCATTGTTAGACTATTAAAAAGTTACTAATGCATTTTCTCTCCTTGTGTGCAGTCATGATCACAGACATCCAGCTCGCAGCCTTTGCAAACATCCTAGGTGTCTCCTTGTTTCTTCTTGTCGTCCTTTATCACTTTGTTGCGGTCAACAATCCCAAGAGGAAGGAAGAATAAGCAACTTGCTTGAGAACAACATGTAAGTTAGGGCATCTTTTGACAAATGTTAGCATCAGAACTGGCCACAGGGACACTCCCGGAGAGGTCACATGGAAAATGCACTTTGTTTCTCAATTGCCCAGTGAGGTTCAATATCCCACCAAGACCTCATGTTTGTCGGTCTGGACAAATTTAACTTGTATAGTTCAAGTTCCTCCCTCAGTCTGTGGGAATCTTTTCCATCCTTCAGCAAGCTTGTTGTCTCTCTAACTATCCTTTCTAGTCGGATGTTTTCTACCCTTGGCAATATTTGTGGGTTATAATTTGTTACTGAGCTTAAAATATATCCTACTTCCTCTAATACGTGCATAGTACACCTGAAAGTATTGGTAACTTACAGAGATAAACTAAGTCATTGTTTTTTCTTCCCCAGGTACAGAAATTTAAAAGTTCATATTCTTCTGTGTTTCAAGACAACAAGAACTAATGCTTAGAGATCGATTAAAAGAAATAAAAAATTTATAGGATTTTGGTGTTATTGTGGATTCCAACTTACAAATACTTCTTTTTTGTAGTGCTGCAGTGAACACAATAAAAAAAAAAACTATGTTTGGGAATCAATGAATCTTTTTTTTATTTTGTAGTGACAGAGATAATGAAATAATATACATGGATACAAGGGAGGGTGAAATGACAATTCAAGACAGGGTTTGGAAGAATTCCAGCTTTCAGTCAGAAGATATTTTCTCATGGCAGAAAACTCTCTCTCAATGAAAAAACCACCATAAACTAGTCAATATTGCAGCAATGCCAAGCAATTGCAGCCAAATCTATTCATCCTTTCCACCTGACTTATTGATTTTTTTTCTACTGAAAGAGTTCCATCGTGTTCTCCATTTCAAGAATGAATTTGTGATCATTCCCTGGGATTTGGGACAACCCATTTGACCCCAAGATTGATATGCAGATTCTCAATACATTTCCAAAGGGACTAACAGGGAGAATTTGTTTAACAATCATGAGCTTCTTTGGTTGGTGACCATGTCTTTTTCTTGTGACCTTAAAATGTGAGTCAGGGATGATATGGCTTAATAAATTTTGTCCTAGGCATCTCCTAAATACAATCTATAAAAACGGATAAATGCACTACGAGAAGCTAACTGATGATCCAGATTGACTCACTGACTGCTAACGTCGACCTCGTCAACTATCAAATCGCCAAAATGATATGACGATAGGACTTCATGTTCTCCTGGTACTCAGGAATAGCCGGTCTGGCAATTTTGAATGTGTTGGACTGGGAATGAGTAATGTGTTAGAGGAGGAGCTTGGGAACAAGAATTTGGCCATGTGCAAGAAATTTGTGACATGCGCATGGTGGATGGCGCATTTCGTGAAAATTTGAAATAAACGTATAATTTTCCTGGTGTGATTAGGAAAGCTCTTTCCCATAATATCCGGGCATAAAACACCTCTTTTGAAAGGTTAAGATCGATTTTTGCTGTTTCTGGTGCTGCTTGAAGATGACAGATGCGAACGCTTTGCTGGCTCTCAATCTGAAAAATACTTTATCATTTGAAACGAACATTCGGAAACAAGGTAAGGCTGGCTTCGGTTTCCACTGTAACTTGGTAGTTTTACAAAAGAAATAATTCTGCTCACATCAAAGTCCGTTGTCTTTCGTAGAGCACTCGAGACAGGAACTTTCTCACATCTAAAGTTAATTTATAAGTATTTTTTTGTATTATTGTTGCACATCCAGCGATTGCATGTTGTAGGATTACTTTAGCTTAAATTGAAGTTTCGTGACATGAGTATTCCTATTAAAGCAGGCCGACTTTCTTTATCAGAAGGAAATACAATTGGAGCTGAATTTTACTTAAATAAGCTGTCTAATTGTTGTGATGTGACGGTTCAAGCTCTAATCGATGTGGACCATATAGACTAATAAGTTTGAGTGTATCGACAATACGTCAGATGTTGCATGAAAAAGTAAACTATAATCGGTCTGGTGTTGGTGTGAAATTTTTCTGTCTTCTACATTATCATTGTCGAAATTTTCGATGTGTTTTATGCGTTAACTGAATTGAACCTTTGAGTTACAGGCAATGACAGTCATGTACTGTAGTCATGTTGCTGAGATAAGTACTGAAAAGGCTAGTATTTGATAATAAGGACTCTAGATTGGACTCCAGTAGAATTTTTCATCAGCGGTCAATGAATCATTCACTGAGGTGGTTAAAACTTTTGTTATAGCCTCCTAAAACAATACTCTCTAAGATAACCCTCACTGGATTGGTTTCAATAATATTCAGTTATTACTGACTTGATGCTTCCTTGTCCAAAATATTTTAAATTAATTAACTTCTTTAAAGTCATACAAAACATGATTTGCAGGTCAGGGCTGTCATTAAATTTTAAGGAGTGGCTTCGTTGAAGATATCCACAGCAGTGTAATTTATGACCAGGTGTAACATCACAGCAATCTACATCTTTACTGATAACATTAAGTGATCACAGCTGTTATTCATCATTGATATTAGGGATTATGACCCTCATCAACAGCCCTGTCGGTAATACTGCCTGAGTTTATAATTAATTTAGTGGAGTTTTTATACCTTGAACAAAGATCTCTAGAGGACAGTTACTATTAATTCTTTCCTGGACTGTTATAGCTGAGAAGTATCTTGAGACAGTGGAAGGAAGTAGTGGTTACAATGTTCTACTACTGGGTATTGTGAATGACGGTAATGAGGATGAATTGATCAGAGTGGCTGCTGCAATCGCTTTCAAGAACAGTGTAAAGCGAAACTGGAGAATTGTAAGTCCTTTAGAAGTATTGGTGGTGAACTTTTTACTCTCTTCTTTTTAATGTCCAGTGTATCCCAAAAAACCTGAATGATGTTCTGTCATCAAACTGCTAATTGAATAATGTTGCAGTACAGTCTGTAACAAGATTAGTGACTGATATAGAAGAGTGGACAGCAAATTAATGCACATCTTTGCATTAGAATGAATGCAAATTTAATACTGTGCGATACCAGTGCTTTCAATAAGACCCGGCACCTGGCGGGTATTCTGTTGTGAGTCACCAAGTATATTTCACCATGCTCAAGTCACGGTCACCACGCTCAAGTCGCTCTCCGGCAGGTGCTGTATCAAGGTAACCATCTATCTCAAGTCTTATTGAAAGCACTGGATACTTACAGTGTCTGCGATAAACTTTTGTGGGTATCAAATAGTAACTAAACACTTCGAGGGGATTATTCAGGGGATAAAGTATGAACATTTGTTTTATCAAATTTTCCCTTGTTAGATTCCTGACGAACCAAACAAGATTAATGATGCTGACAGGGAAACAAGTATGTGGCATCTCAGTAGTTCTGCTATTATTGATTGACCCACTTCTATAATGCCTGAGTTAACTTGCTTTTACTTGACTTGACTTGACTTGCCAAATAGTTTAGACCTGTTGATTTGGTCATTGGGACTGTCTGCAAAATGGTTATTACTTCTTGAAGTTTTCACAAAGACCAGTCATTTCTTCGCCCTGAAAGTGACAAAGTAGTCATTGCTTACAAGGTTGAGATGAGTACCTTTACACTTTGCTTTAAGCACCCCCTGAAACGTATAGGCACCTTCCCTAAACTCATTTATTGCTCTTGAACAAAGTTATATGCTGGAATGATAAAACATATTGATGGCCTGTTTTACCGTGTTTTTTTTGTAGTCAAAAGAGAGATTGTTGAGTTGATGCTTAGAAGTCCTGAAAAGCTCCAGAAGCAGGTAGGGACTGATTTTAAAGCATCACATTATGGTTGCAGAATCTTCAGGCTTGGAGGGGTTGAGTGTTGTGCTATGAACTTCAGCGTCTGAGGCTTGAATCCCTGTGGAGGATTCAGATTTGTTTTTTAATTTTATTCATGTGTACAAATAAATTCAATTTGTGTGTTTCTTTCTTTATTCTCAGCTTAGTGATGCAGTCAGTGTGATTGGCAGAGAGGATTTCCCTCACAAGTGGACAAATTTATTACCGGTGGGTAATGACAAAGAGAAAATTCTATTGATACATTATTATTCAAGACTGAGTCACACAGCTGCTGCAGGATTGCAGGTCCTGCATGTATATTGTGAAGTAACTTATAGTGGAACTTTTTCTCTTGGAATTAATACTAGTCCCCTCCCCTCCTCTCCTTTGCATTTTTAAGGTCCTCCCCACAGTTTTAAGTGGTGGAAGTAGAGTGTTCTGTTCAGGCTCACAGCAAACTGACATTGGCTTGAAACTGGAGATTTCAACTACAGTGACTTTGGCTATTAGTGCTATTGTGCTACAACAGAAAACTGTGCTGATAAATGTAACATCAACTTAAAGACTGTAACTGAGCAGTTATTGTAAAAGTTTTGCAAGTCACTGATTGATACTTTTATTGGTATCTTTATGGATGGTATGAACTTCTTCATTTGATTCATTTGTAGGAGCTTGTGGCCAAATTCAAACAAGGTGATTTTCACCAAATCAATGGAGTTCTACAGACAGCTCATTCACTATTTAAAAGGTTTGATTCCTGTCCTTTATTTAATGAGTTAAATTATCGCTTTTATTATCATGATAATGGAACTGTTTAAGCCGAGGGTAGTTGAACTTTGTGTATGACACACTTTTGGGAAAATGGCTCAGTACAAGGCAGCCAACAAGAGACAAGTTTTGATGGAAGAAAATTGCAATAAAATGGTAATTTATGAAAATTTTTTCTCACTTAGATTATAGACCATAAAAACTAAGTTAGAAACAGTTATATCTTGCAGTCATCTTTCATCAGACAGTTGCCAAACATAGGTTGCTAAAATGGCAACTTGCGCCACAAATTGAGCCTAATTTTTTTTTAAATTATAACCAGGTATCGTCATGAATTCAAGTCCCAGGAACTGTGGACTGAGATCAAGTTTGTGTTGGAGAGGTTTGCAGAACCAATGACAAATCTCTTTGAGGTTAGTAATGGTGTCTTGCTTCATTTACAAGGTGGCTACTGTTACCGTAGGTGCTTTAAAGTCCCTATGATGCCTATTTTTTAGCATCAAATTATAAAAGTAGAACCATAAAGAAGGTGTCTGGTAAGATTTGTGGGTGATTCTGGTGCTTCTTTGTTATTTTACGAGATGACAAAAGTCCAAAATTGTGGCAAATTTGGGCTTCTGGTATCTCTTTGGCCAGGTTGAAGAGTACTGGTACCTAAATATTGGTGACATCATTGTAGTCAGTCCAAGTTTATCAAAGAAGCTAAGTGAGCTTGGAATCTATTGCTTATGATCTTTTAAGCAAAAAATACAATAGATAAAATGCCATTTCGAAGTGACCAATTTGAATGCAAGAAACAAGGAATGAATCCCATCTGAATAATTTGTTGTCTTTTCTTGCTTTAGTCTTAAGTACTGATTAGCAGTATTGAATTTATTGGGAATTGGTGTTATTATATATATATATATACATATACGTGATTGGTAAATTTTCTTTGATTACCATATTTACCCATGTATAATGTGCACTTTTTCTACAAAAATAACCATCAAGATTGTAGTGCGTTTTATACATGCATTCGATTGTTTGTCATGCATGTCCTAATTTGCATGTTGAAAACACAACAAAAAAAGTAACACATTTAAAGCTTTGATTAAATAAGTGATTTTCAATGAAAAGTTATAGGTGCATAGTAAGTTTTACTCTAAAATCAAGCGGAAAGACAAAAGTTGCTTAATATTTTCGCAAGTGGGGAAACAGCACGTGCACGTGGATCAGATTTCAAAGTGAATATGCCAGTTTGGCCGCGTGTGAAGAGATCTCATGTTACATGAATTTTTCAATGAGAAGCAAGAAGAAAGCGAGCGAGAAATATTTCAGGACAAAAGCTTTATTTAAAGCAGTTCTTGATTTGCCGTTATAAGTGAAAAACGTGTGAATTTCTTTTGTATACAAAGCGCACGCAGTGGAATTCATCATGGTTATATTGTTGTTTACTTGACTTTATGGCCAGAAAATTGCATAGCGTTAGTTTGAAAATTCTAAAATTTTCAATACTTTTTGGACATATTGTTGCTTACTCGTAATATTTACCGGGCCATGGAATTGTCAAATTAGCTAGGCCTCGCTTTAAGTCCTAAAGATTGATTTCAGTAATGTCGTAAATAACTAAGTAGCAAAAGACATTGATGTTAATGATATAGTAAATTTCCTATTCTTTTTGTCTTAATAAATAATTGTATAAATATTTAACTTGTGTTTTTGCCGTGAAAAACAAGGGTGCGCATTATACAAGGGCTCATATTATACACGGATAAGTATGGTAGCCATGGGAGTAGTAATGGTACTGTATGACAAATCTGACAAGGCAAAGACAAGTGCCACTCATTTTTCATGTAAAGAAAAACAAAGAGGGCTAGTAATGGTGGCAGTCCATAAATAGTATTGCAAATCTAATGAGAACTTTCAATCAACCATCATTTTCAAATTTTTTAAGATACACATGTCAGATTAAAGCGTATTTTTGTTACTGCTTTCTCTAAAGACTCTGTAAGTTTGTTGTTTAAATCTTTTGTACGATTTAGCATGTGGCTCTGCCTCTGAGATCATGTGGTATTGTATGATGTGATTCTTTCTCCAGAACATTTCTCTGTATAGCCTTCTTCTTAAGGTGGCTGCACACAGTTTTCACGCGTGCTTTTGCTGATGTAATTCAGTGCACGTACAAGGATTGTAAAAAACAAACATGCCGTCAATAGAGCAGTCATTTTATTTACTCAACACGTATCCGCACTATCTGTGCTATTTTTCTCTATAGTTGGTGCAGCGTATTGAGGGCCTTAATCTTTTTTTACAAAGACATTTTAGAGTAGTTAACGGTGCAAAGAACCCAGCAATTCTCAGC